AAGTCGTAAGCAGCGCGGTTCAATCAAGAAATTGCAGGTGGTGAGTCAAGCTCCAGTGGAAAAAAAGCAAGAGGAATCACCGAAAATCCCTGAATATGCCCAATATCCTGCAATATCCGGAGTGGTGCACTCTATGCGACTGTGGACCTCCGTGTCTTGCACACGGAAAAATTCCATCTACCAAGCAACCGCGGAATATCCCTTTAAGTCCAAAGTCCAGCAATGTCTACAGAAGGATTTCAATAAGAACAAACTGGAATAAGTGACGATAAATCTTGTATACGCCGCAGGCAAAGTCTCCTGAGGAAAATAAAATGAAATAAAGGCTAGGATCCAAATAAATGCACTGAACAAGTTGGGATTGCGATGAGAATGATCCAGCAATACGGAGAGCCAGAAAAAGGATTCTAAACCAGTACTATCAAAACCTTTGAAACGTCGGCAGAACTTAGAACAAGCAGGTTGTAGGCAGGTATAGACAAATACATTTACAACTTCGAAATACTGTGGAGCATTAAAAATTCACCTCCTAGCTCTCTAATTTTTTAACAAAATCAAAAATATCAACGGCAAGTGGCCGAGGCATTTCAAAAGCGGCAAAATGTCCAACATCCGCCACTTCTGTGTAGTGAGTGAGATTGTACAGCACCGAAGAGATCTGAAAGCGACACCTGACATAGCCGTAAATAATTTTTTCATGCTCAACACATTCTCAGAAAAGCACCCAACTGACTTCGTGACTGAAGTTTCGTGCTCTTACCAACTGCTATGTTTTCCTCATCCTAACAAAAACATTTGCAACTCACCTCAGGTGGCGTCCTGTCAAAGAACTCGTTCATTGCGGAAAAGTGCGCAGTTGGAACGGCCAAATATTGCCTAAACAATAATTTGCGAATTGAGAATTGACTGCATGCAATGTGTGACCACCCCATGCCCCCGCCCCCAACCCCACCACACACACTAAGAGTCCTCAAGCCGTATTCATACTTTGCAGCAGCGTCCATCAGCGTCCACTAGCGTCAGCGACTGGGAAGGTATAGAGGTCGAGCCAGCGACCAATAGCATCTGTCAGGGTCCACCAGCGATCGGGGAGCAGGCGTGCAGGAGTGGACGCAATGGGGCGATAGGAGTGTAAGAAGACAGTTTCCAGCTGCCTTCTATCGCCTCGATGCTTTTGCTTTTTACACTCCTAGACGCTGCTGGTCGGGTGGACGCTGTCGCAAAGTATGAACGCAGCCTTAGACTGCCCCTCCTCCACTTTGTAAGATTCCAGTTCTCTATCACAATTTGTGAAAAGCCTAATGGCAACATACTTCTGCAGAGCTCTGTTTTCGTTCGTCCAGGAAGAACTCGCGATAAAATCGCTGCGATGAGACGATATTTCCATTTAGCCAATAGATCATGACCACAGTTAAGAGCTCATCTCGAGTAAACTTCCTAAATATTCGGAAATATATTGTTCGCCCGACTTCGGATTAGTGAGGTACAGTTTAAAGGCACTGGGTGCAATGACTGAAAGGCGGGGTGCACTTCCATCGCGCTTCTCAACGGAGCCTCGAATGCTGCCTCCACAAAGCATCCGCAGTCCTTGCTTTCAAAGGAACATTCCACGCAAATCGTACAAGCAGAGCCACTAGGAACCACTGCTCTCTTCTCACTAGTGCGCCCTTTGCTTTCCTGCGAAGTGGCCTCACCAATGAAGGGGCGTAGTGGCCCAAGTGGAGCCACCCAAACTATAACCGTGGAATGCAATTTAGTTGAAAGGGAATCTGATGAATGAAAAGAAGAGGACAAAAGGGAGTAAGGGAAGGAGGTAGATACGTGCTCCAACGAGGAAGGAGCTAAAAGAAGGGAACAAATGACTCACTTGGTCAAGCCTCCATCTTTAAGCGACCTGTGGTCTAACTTGGTCCATGTGGAAAACTTTTCCAGAATGTAAGCAGCCAGTCCAATCGGAGAATCGTTCAGCGCAGTTCCTACAAAATGTCAGAGCAATGGAGACAATGGTCCTTATATGGAGACAGCTACATACTGTATCTTACAATAGCACAGTACAATTAAAAAATCCTACTGGCTAATTAGGACTGATTCAGTTCATGTTTCAAAGTTATCCGTACCCAGCCTTCCCTGATTTCGAGCATATTTTCTCCATTCTTCTGCACTAAAGACAGTCTCCCTGCTCCAACAACTCGCAAGTGTCCCTCCTTGTTCAAATGGTCTGGCCCGCAGTCTCTAAGATTGTCCCTCTTTCACGACGTCCGTAGTTGTCCCGCCCCGCCCATCAAAACAACGCAAAGGCTATTTCCCGTCACGAGATCAGAGATCAGCTTTTACACAGTGTTTCTTTCTTTCAACTCTTTTGACGGTATTTGATGATGCGAAGAAGCGACTAGTAAGTCAGAGGCGGCAGAATATCACTTTGTGAAGCGATAAAACGTGCAGTTCCAAAAACTCGTCTAGAAAGGCTGTCATTTCCCTAATTAAGGTGTTCTCCATGATTTTTCGCTTTTTTCTCCCGTGGGATTCGGCTATATGTTTGTAATGAACGCCACTATCTACAATATGCAGAAGCGGGCTTTGTCCTCAAGACTTCTTGAGGCTTGAAAGCAGCAGAGGAGGCATCCAGATTCAGGTACTTTGTTTTTGGCCTTCCAGGTAAGTTCTGCACCGATTACCCGGAAGGGCATGTACATCTTCGTCGAGCTCCGAGGCAGATGGTCCCGGATATTACCCTAACCCTATATATGTATAACTGTGGCAACGCGTAGCAAGCGGAGCGACTCGCTCAAGAGGGGCACGTCCTGCCATCTGCGGAAAATTTCCGGAGAATGCGACTCCCTACAAATCCCGCTGCCTAATACCTTCCCTCCCCTTCCCTCCCTCCCCCA